GTTTAAGTCTTTGTAATGACATATGCTTTTATTTCTCTTGGGTAATTAAGAGGAGTGGAATGTCTGGGTCATAAGGTAGGTATATATTTACATTTTTATTTTTTTATTTTTTATTTATTATTATTTTTTAAAGATTTTATTTATTTGACAGAGAGACAGCGAGAGCAGGAACACAAGCAGGGGGAGTGGGAGAGGGAGAAGCAGGCCTCCCGCGGAGCAGGGAGCCAGATGTGGGACTCGATCCTAGGACCCTGGGATCATGACCTGAGCCGAAGGCAGACGCTTAACGACTGAGCCACCCAGGCACCCTATATTTACATTTTTAAAAAAGATTTTATTTAAGAGGGAGAGACAGCATGTGCACACACAGGTGCGGGGTGGGGGGGGGAGAGGGACAAGCAGACTCCCTGCGGATCAGGGACCCTGGACGCCCCGACGCAGGGCTCGATCCCAGGACCCTGGGATCATTACCTGAGCTGAAGTCAGATGCTCAACTGGCTGAGTCACCCAGGTGCCCGCCCCAGTATATATTTACATTTTCAAGAATCTTAAACCTCTACAAAGAAGTTGTACCATTTTATATCCATACCAGCATTGTATGAGAGTTATACTTCCAAGACATCTTTGGCTATGCTTAATATTGTTTTAAATTTTAGCTCTTATAAAGTATAATGCTGTCTCATTGTGATTTTACTTTGCATTTCCCTAATGACTAATGATGTTGAACATATTTTCATGTGCTTATTTGCCAGTGTCCGTATCTTTTGCCTATGTTTTTATTGGGTTGTTTTCTTTTTATTGATATTTGGGAGGTCTTTTGGGGGGTGGGGGGGCTCTTTATATATAGTGGATACAAGTCCTTTTCCAGATACGTGATTTCTAAACATTTTCTCCCAGCATGTGGCTTGCCTTTTCATTCTCTCTCTCTCTCTCTTTTTTTTTTAAGATTTTATTTGAGATTTAGTGTGCATGGGTGGGATCGGGAGAGAGGGACAGGAAAAGGATAAACTCCCCGCTGAGCGGGAAGCCTGGTGCGGGGCTCAGTCCCAGGACCCCGGGATCATGACCTGAGCCGAAGGCAGACGCTTGACGATGGAGCCACCCAGGCGCCCCAGTTACTGTAGTTTAAGTGTTGAAGTCACACAGTGTTAGTGTTCCTATTTTGTGTTCTGCCAAAGTTGTGGCCATTCTAATTCCTTTGCATTTCACAGGAATTTTAGAATCAGTTTGCAGATTTTTACAAAACATATCCTCAAATTTTGATAGATATTGTATGGACTCTTTAGATTAATTTTGGGGAGAATTCACATCTTTCTTAACTGTATAGTCTTTTAACTCAAAAACATGGTAAGCCTCTCCTTTGGATCTTCATTTCAGCAGTGTTTTGTGATTTTTACTGTATGTCTTTCACACCTTTTCTCAGATTTGTCTAAATATATCATTTTTTGATGCCATATATAATAGCAAATTTCTAAATGTTCATTGATGGTATATAGAAATGCAATTGATTTTTGTATTTTGACCTTGTATCCTGCAATCTTGCACAACTCACTTATTTTAATAACATTTTTCTAACATTGAGAATCATGTTCATAACCATTTTACTTCTTTCCAATTCTGGATTTTTTTTCTTGCCTTATTGCACTGGCTAGTGGCTGGGGATAGTGTGTTAGGGAGAGCCAGTCCTTGTGGCATTGGCCAGGTGAGGGACATCCAGCTCTAGACCTTCAATTTTGCTGATACATGAGCAGGCTCACTGACAGCTGTAAAAGCAGCTCAAGTGTCCCATGTCCTGGTTCACCTTGCTTTCTAGCTGCCTGTAGGTCAGCACTGCCTGTACTCTGTCCCTCTGGTGAGGATGCTCTGGGAAAGAATGGGACTCTTGTTGCATGCTCCCAGTTTTCTCCTCTGACTACCCATGATTCCAATTCTCATTCTCACAACTTGGGGATTTTTATTTGGGTCTACCCAAAATTCTCATATTCTCCCTGCACTGGTATAATACCAGATAGAGGAATTCCGTGTCCAATATTGTACCCCTTCAAGTTAGACCTGATTGTGATAATTGGCTATTTTTTTTTTTTTGTAAAGATTTTATTTGAGAGAGAGCAAGTGAGTACAAGCAGGGGAAGCAGCAGAGGGAGAGGGAGAAGCAGGCTTTCTGCTGAGCAGGGAGTCCAAAACGAGGCTCCAGCCCAGGACCCTGGGATCATGACCTGAGCCAAAAGCAGATGCTTAACTGACTGAGCCACCCAGGCGCCTCTGGCTAGTACTTTTTAAGGGTTTGTGATGTGTATATGTGTGTGTGTGCACCCATATATGTGTGCCCATCTTTCTAGATTCATGGTAGATGTTCATTTTGATAGGTTTAGAGAAGGGGCAATATGAAAATAAAAGTCCTCATCACGCTATTGTTCTTGGCAATCTAATTCATTTATTTAAAACAATTGTACAGAAGCTTTACAATAAAAATACTGGAAATTTTATAAAATACACGGTTTCTATGATAGGCAAAATCTCAGTGTTAGGCAGCCTCCATATGGTCCGCAGTGATTCTAATCCTTGCATTCATGCCCTTATGTATCTCATCTAATACTGTATTATGACTGGCTTGTGTTGGTAGTATATTGAGGTGATGATGGTGCATGACTTCTGAACTAGGTCATAACCCTAGTTGGCCTTGGCCTTTTTTAATTTTTATTTTTAAAAAAGATTTTCATTTTTTAAGTAATCTGTACAACCTGTGTGGGGCTTGAACTCATGACCCTGAGATCAAGAGTCACATGCTCCACCAACTGAGGCAGCCAGGTGCCCCTGGCCTTGGCCTTTTGGATTGCTTACCTTAGGTAGAATCCTGTAGCCATGTGAGGACACTCAGCTGTGTGCAGAAACCGGTGTGGGAAGGGACTGAAGTTTCACACCAGTAACCAGTACCAACTTGCCAGTCACGTGAGTTATCTTGGAGGCAGAAGCTGTAGACTCAGTCAAGGCTTTCAGATGAGTGCAGCCTTAGGTGACACCTGCATGGAACTTCATGAGAGATCCCAAGCTGCTATCTTCCAGCCAAACCACTCCTGAATTCCTGGTCTACAGAAACTTTAAGCAATAATAAATGTATATTGTTTTCAGCCACAAAGTTTTGGGATGATTATGCAGCAGGAGATACCTATTGTACTCTCCATGACAGGACTTTAAGCTGTGTTTTGTTAATCTAATTCCTGTGGAAGTGTAACAGCACTCCAGCCGGGTCTTAAGGGTTAACACTCCTTACTTGCTGACCTAAGGCCTCAGTCTGTAACAGAACTATTTTACTTTGAGATTTGCAGACCATTGGCCTTGAGAAGAACCAGAACCTTCCCAGGTCCCAGAGGCTAGCAAGTCTGTTTGAAGCCACCTCGGATTTCTGATCAGTCTAGCAAATTTTTTTTTAACCAAAATATTTTTTTAGGCTACACAAATGATTTTACTAACCTCCCTTTGTGTATCTATAGACCTTGCCCTGCTTTCCAGAAAGGAGTACTCGGGCACATCACGACACAAGAACAGGACCCCCATGCACAACCCCAGCACTGAAAATGTTTCTAGCTGGTCCCAAATCTGCACGTGATCAAGAAATGCTACAGGCCATTGCCCACTCTGCCGATTAACTACCCTAAACCCCTTTAAGCCCCCCGGGCCAGGCAGAAATCTCAAAGGGGGCTTTTGGACAAGAGTCCAACTTCTCCCTCGGTTGCCGGCCTCCTGAATAAAGCTCAGATTCCTTTCCAACAAAACTCGTCTCTTGAGTGACCTCTCAGGTAACAGACAGCCAAATGGGTTTGGTAACAAAAGGAGTAGAAACTCTTGTGATAGAGCCATACATCCAGATAGCAAGGATCATTCTATCTTATAGCAGTCGGAGGCCAATTCCCCTCCATAGCACTGAAGTTCTTGGTGAGTAGGAGGCGTAAAGTCCGTTCACGTTGGCAACCACACCGGCCCGCCGTGATCACTGGAACACGGGGACTCAGTGATTTCCAAAGTCTTGGTCGCTATATTGAGGGCACTGATTGGCTGACTTTTGGAGTGTTTACCACTAATTGGCTCCTGTTCAGAAGCTTGGGCTGCCATTGATTTGCTAACTTTCAGAAGCAAATTGGGACCACCCAAGTGAGACTGTCACTCTATTGGCTAATTTGCAGAACATGTGTACTGACCCAAAGTTGTGCAAATTAACGGCAATTACTTGAATATGAAAAACAGGTAACTTTAATCTGTTAATCTGTTTTAACTTCACACAGCCAAACCTGCAGGAGAGACTGTTAAGGGATTATCCAGATCTTTATTTATGGAAGGTATGATTTTTTTTTTTTAGCCAATTATTTCAGTGCCAGTTATCGGGTGGAAAAATAGCTCTAAACTACAGATTTGTTGGTAAATTTATTGGGAAAAGCTAAACAGGACATTTAAGTCAATACAGAACAAAATCATCTGACATAGGACATGTCCTGTATATACAGGATGCCTGGCAACTTTAGTCACCATTATTTTGGTAGCTAAATGAGTCTGTCCTAAAAGGACCCACACGTGCATGTTCTAGTAAGGGAGAGGGCTTTACACGGGTGGATGGGAACAGTTTTCCTAAGGGCGGCCTAGCTTGGGGGACCCAAGCAGTGTCGGCTTGGGTGCTTGGGTCTCTAAGAGGTGAAACACCGGGAGCCATTCTCCCCACAGCAGCGCAGGCCAGGTGACGCTCGGAATAAAGGCGGCCGACCGCTGACGGGCTTTCGATTAACCCGGGCCCCACCTGGGTCCGGACCGGGCACCAGAGCCGCAGCGTGCCTGACCCCTAGAGGCTGCAGCGGCGGCCGCGGGAGAGGCACCAGCCAATGAGCAGGCCGGCAGCGGCCCGCCGCGGCCCCGCCTCTTCCGCGCGGCCGGCGGGGTCACGTGGTCCGGGCCGCGGGGACCACAGAGACGGGCTGCCTCCGCGCGGCCTAGAGGGGCGCTGGGCGCTTGCGCTCGCTTCCGCATCGGCTTGCCTCTACCAGCTTTCCGGTGTTCGGAGAGGGAGAGCGTGGGTTCCAGCGAGGTCTACGTACAAGGTCCGCCCGGCATCGGCTTCCTCGTTTTCCCTAGCGGCTCGTCAGCGCCCCCCACCCCTGAACTCGGGCCCGGTGTCGGCTCATCCCTCCTCCCTGACTCGGAGCTCGGGCGCCTGGGCCTGGCAGAGGCCGCCCGAGGTGGCCGCGCGGCCTTCTAGAGCCCTGGCCCAGCCCCCTGCCCACCGAGGCGTGATCCTCTTTTCTGTCCTAAAGAACTTGGCCCAACAGCTTCCCGCGTCCATTACTGACGTTTCTGTTTAGGGGGTGGAGATCCTGGTCGGGTCTCCGGTCAGCATCACCCACTGGAACACTGAGTAACTGTTAATCCGCATCTTGCCATCTCTGTCCCTCCTTTCCACTGGCCCCGTTTTTGGGTCAACGTCATGGTTACTGTAAGTGCGCTTTTAGGTTTGTTCAGACCCAACACTAGGGACAGGATTTGTCTTAGATCCCTCCGTCCACTGCGTGTGAATGGGTTCAGGAACACTCTTGGACTGAGCAGGAAGATGAGGATTGTCCTGAGGACCAGGCAGAGCAGTTCATGAGGTTGTTGGGGGCCATCAGCCAGGGCGGGGGAGGGGTCTGAGAGAGTCTCCTGCCAGTGCTGGAAATGAGACTGGGAAGGCTATAGGCGGCTGTGGGTGTTGTAGGACAGGGTGCAAAGCACTCATCGCTCTTCTTCTCTTAGCTCTTAAGGTTGTTGCTTTTCCAAATCAAGAAGACAGTGCACGAAGCCAGGGGACATCAGCCATGCTCCAAACATCTTGGCCTCAGGTGAGCTGAGCTTCCTTTCAGTCTTTTAAAATTAAGTTAGCTATCAGGTAATTAGGAAAGGACCAAGAAGGCCTGATTTGGCCACGCTCTGATTTCCCCCTTAAGTTTATCTCCACAGCTATGGCTGTAAGTAGTGATGGAGGAGATAAGAGTTGTGTGTATGAGAGTGATGAGTGTGGATGTGTAGGTTTAAGTGGGAAAAGAGGCACCCAAGCTAAGGAATTCTCTCAGCATGTGGAAAATCCAGATCATGTTCTGCAAATAAAAGTTGCCTACTGAGATCAGAGAAATTCTGTATTGAAGAAATTGTTCCACAAATTGTAGAGGTATCCCAGGGAGACCTTTTCTCGTGGAAGGTACCTGCTAGCAAAGTGGATAGTCCATAAACAAACTAGTAAGTTAATTACATGTTGCTAAAGTGCAGTGCTTCTCCAAAGTGTGGTCCCTACATGGGCAGCATCCATATCCCTGGGAGGTCATTAGAATTGCAAATTCTTGGGCCCCACCCTAGACCCAGAATCAGGGAGGACTGTGAGTGGGGCCAGGAATCACTTGTAACAAGCTCTTCACGTGACTTTTTTTTTTTTTTAAAAAATTTTTTTTTTGAAAAAAAGGAATAAAAAGGGGGGGGGGGGGGGGGGGGGAGAACCCCCCCCCCCCCCCCCCCCCATGAGCAGGGAGCCTGCTGTGGGGCTCGATCCCAGGAGCCTGGGACCATGACCTGAACCAGAAAGCAGATGCCTGACTGAGCCACCCAGGCGCCCCTCTTCAGGTGATTCTTATGCCCATACCTTTTCAAATCTGAGAAGGCTTGAAGAAGCTCCCTCTCAAGGTGGTGGTCAGGGAAGCCCTCGTGGAGGTAGTAACATGGGGGTTGAGATCCCAAGAATGAGCTAGAAACAGTTTTGGGAAGCACTGAAGAGAGAGCTAACGAAGAGCTTTCCAGAGAGAAGGATGGCAAATGCAAAGGCTCTGTATCTGGGAGAAACCTGGTGTATTCTAGAAACAGGGAGAGGTCAAAGAAAATAGTTTACTGTGAGGTGGGAGAAGTAGGCACATGTCTCGTAGGACACTGTAAAGACTGATTTCTTTTCTGAGTTCAGTGGGAAGGAGCTGAAGGATTATTAAGCAGGGTAGGTGATATGGTTGGTCATATGTATTAAAAAGATTTTCCAGCAGACTTTGGGTGTCTCAGTCGGTAGGCCATGTGACTCTTGATCTCAGCATCGTGAGCTCAAGCCCCGTGACCCCAAGTTGGGTGTACAGATTACTTAAAAAAAAAAAAAAGATTTTTCCAGCCCAGTGGTGAGTTGGTTGTAGAAGGGTATGAGTCAGTTAGAAGCATATTGTAGTCCAGATAAGAGATAAATATTGTCCTTTTTAAAAAAATAGGCTTTATTTTCAGAGAAGTTTTGGGTTCATAATAGAGTGAAATAGAAAGCACAGAGAGTTTCCATACACACCCTGCCCCCTGCCTCCATACATGCATAGCCTATTATCTTTTTATTTTTTTAATTTTTGTTTATTAAGTAAACTCTACCCCCAACATGGGGCTCAAGCTCATGAACCTGAGATCACATGCTCTAAGGAATGAGCCAGCCAGGCACCCCTAAAATTTTTTTTTGAGTGTAGTTGACAGACGATGTTACATTAGTTGGAGTGTAACCTAGTGATTTGGTAAGTTTATACATTATGCTACTCTCGCCACAAGCATGGTTACCATCTTTCACCCTGTAACACTGTTACAATGTCGTTCACTATATTCCTTATGCTGTACCTTTTATTTCTATGATTTATTCATTCCATAACTGGAAGCCTGTGTTTCCCTCTCCCCTTCACCCATTTTGCCTATCCTCCCCACTCCCTGTAACCATCAGTTCTCTGTATTTACCAATCTGATTCTGCTTTTTGTTTATTCATTTTTCTTTTTTAGATTCCACATATGAATGAAATTATATGCTGTTGTCTTTCTTAGTCTGACTTATTTCATTAGCATTAATACCCTCTAGGTCCATCCATGTTGTTGCAAATAACAATCTCTGGGCTCCTGGGTGGCTCAGGCAGTTAAACGTCTGCTTCCAGCTCAGGTCATGATCTCAGGGTCCTGGGATCGAGCCCCTGCTCAGCGAGGAGTCTGCTTCTCCCCCTCCCTCTGCTGCTCCCGCCTCCCTCTGCTGCTCCCCCCTGCCTGTGCTCTCTCGCTCTCTCTGTCAAAGAAATAAAAATCTTAAAAAAAGAAAAAACAGAAAAACAACAACACAAGAAACAAGTGTTGGGGAGGATGGGGAGAAAGGGGAATGCTCTTGCACTGTTGGTGGGAATGCGAACTGGTGCCCCTCCCCCCGCTCGTGCTTGGTCGCTCGCTCTCTCTCACTCTCTCTCAAATAAATAAATAAAATCTTAAAAAAAACCCAACCAAACAAAAACCAATGAGACAGTCTCATCCTTTTTATGGCTGCAGAATATTTCAGTGTGTGTGTGTATATCACATCTTCCTTATCCATTTGTCTATTGATGGACACTTAGGTTGAATCCATATCTTGGCTATTTAAAGAATGCTGCATTACACATAGGGACACATGTATCTTTTTGAATTAGTGTAATTCCACTACCCAGTAGTGGAATTATTGGATCACATGGTATTCTGTTTTTAACTTTTTGAGGAACCTCCATACTGTTTTCCACAGCGGCTGCACCGCTGTGCCTTCCCACCAGTAGTGTGCATGTGTTCCCTTTTCTCCGCATCCTCACCCACACTTGTTATTGTCTTTTTGATTTTAGCCATTCTGGCAGGTGTGAGGTGATACCTCATTGTGGTTTTGATTTGCATTTCCCTGATGATGAGTGATGTTGGGCATCTTTTCTCATGTGTTTGTTGGCCATCTGTAGGTCTTTGGAGAAATACCTACTCAAGTCCTCTGCCCATTTTTTAATCAGATTTTTTTCTTTGTTTTTTTGGTCTAGAGTTGTAGAAGTTCTTACATTTTATATATTTTTGGATATTAACTCCTTATTGGATATATTATTTGTAAATATCTTCTCCCATTCAATAGGTTGTCTTTTTGTTTTGTTGATGGTTTCCTTTGCTGTGCAAAAGCTTTTTACTTTGGTATAGTCCCAGTAGTTTATTTTTGCTTTTGTTTCCCTTGCCTTAGAGGACACATCTAGAAAAATGTTGCTATGGCTGATGTCAGAGAAATTACTGTCTGTGTTCTCTCTAAGGATTTTTATGGTTTCAGGTCTCACTTTTAGGTCTTTAATCCATTTGGGGTTTATTATTGTATATGGTGTAAGAAAGTGGTTCAGTTTCAATCTTTTGCACATAGCTGTCCAGTTTTCTCAGAACCATTTATTGAAGAGACTGTCTTTTCCCCATTGTATATTCTTGCCTCCTTTGCTACAGATTAATTGACCATATAAGTGTGGATTTATTTCTGGACTCTCTTTCTTATTCCATTGATCTGTGTATCTATTTTGTGCCAGTACCATACTGTTTTGATTACTACAACTTAGTAGTGTATCTTGAAGTCTGGAATTGTGATACCTCCAGCTTTGTTTTTCTTTCTCAAGATTGCTTTGGCTATTCTTAGCCTTCCCCATAATCAACATCCCCCACCAGAGTGGTACTTTTGTTACAGTTGATGAACCTACACTGACACGTCATAATCACCCCAAGTCCGTAGTTTACATTAGGGTTCATTCTTGCTGGTGAACATTCTGTGGGTTACAAATATATAATGACATGTATCCATCATTATAGAATCATACAGAGTATTATTATAGTATCATACAGGGTATTTTCATGGTCCTGAAAATCCTCTGTGCTGTACCTATTCATCTGTAGCTCCTTGGCAACCATTTTTTTTTTTTTTTTTTTTGCTGTCTTCAAAGTTTCCTTACGTAGTTGGAATTGTACAATATGTAGCTTTTTCAAATTGGTTTCTTTCACTTGGTTATATGCATTTAAGTTTCCTCTATGACTTCTCATAGCTTTATAGCATAATTCTTTTTAGCGCTGAATAACATTCCATAGTCTGAATATACCACAGTTTATCCATTCAGCTCTATTGAAGGACATCTTGCTTGCTTCCAAGTTTTGGCAGTTTTGAATAAAGCTGTTATAAACATCTGTGTGCAGGTTTTTATATGGATATAAGTTTTCAACTTATTTGGGAAGATCCCAAAGAGCATGGTTGCTGGATCATATGGTAAGAGTATGTTTAGTTTTGTAAGAAACTACCAAACTGCCTTCCAGAGTGGCTGCACCATTTTGCATTCCTGTCCGCAACAAATGAGATTTCCTGTCGCTTCACATCCTCAGTAGCATTTGGTGTTTTCAGTGTTCTAGGTTTTGGCCATTCTAGTGGTATCTCAGTGTCTTAATGTATGTTTTCCTGTTGACATATGATGTAGAGCCTCTTTTCATATACCTGTGTGCCACCTGTGTATATTTGTGAGGTGTCTCTTCTTGTCTTTTGCACATGTTTTAATGGGGTTGTTTGTTACCTTTGAGATTTAAGAGTTCTTTGTGTATTTTGGTAAAGTCCTTTATCAAATAGGTCTTTTCAACTATTTTTTCCCTGTGGTGGCTTGTTTTCTCATTTTTTTAAAAAAGATTTTATTTGTCAGAGAGAGAGTGAGAGAGAGCATGTGCGTGCGCACAAGCAGGGGAAGCGGCAAGCAGAGGGAGAAGCAGTCTCTCCACTGAGCAGGGAGCCTGATGCAGGACTTGATCCCAGGACCCTAGGATCATGACCTGAGCCGAAGGCAGATGCTTAACTGACTAAGCCACCCAGGTGTCCCTTCTCATTTTCTTATATCCTATTTTTTTTCTTTTAGTTTTTAAAAGGAAGATATATTTGACAAGATTCACTTAGTGCAATACACCTAAAAGGAAATCACAATACAATGAAAGATTTAAATCAGGGCCTCAGAATTTCATACAAACACCCAAGACCAAAATCCTAAAGTATCTCAAATTTTCTCCGTTAATTTAATTTAATTTTATTCTTTTTTTAAAAGATTTTTATTTATTTGAGAGAGAGTGGGAGCGAGAGAGATCACAGAGGGAGAGGGAGAAGCCGACTCACCACTGAGCCAGGAGCCTGACGCGGGGCTCGATCCCAGGACCCTGGGATCATGACCTGAGCCGAAGGCAGACGCTTAACCGACTTGAGCCACCCAGGCACCCCTGAAGTATTGGCCTTTCAATGTAGGGATTAATTCCTGCTCATCTTTTCTTTCAAAACTTCTTTTCTTCAAAACATTTTGGGTAGTCTTCCACACTTACTTTTCTGGTGACACTGTTGTTGTTGCTGTTATTATTTATTTATTTATTTTTAATATTTTATTTATTTATTTGTCAGAGAGAGAGAGCACAAGCAGGGGGAGCCACAGGCAGAGGGAGAGGGAGAAGCGGGCTCCTCGCTGAGCAGGGAGCCCGATGTGGAACTCGATCCCAGGACCCTGGGATCGTGACCTGAGCTGAAGGCAGACGCTTAACTGACTGAGCCACCCAGGGGTCCCTATTATTATTATTTTTGAAAGCAGGCTCCACGTCCAGTGTGGGGCTTGAACTCATAATTCTGAGATCAAGAGTTCTGTGTTCTATGGACTGAGCCAGCGAGGTGCCCCTCAGATGACTTTAAATGATCTTTTTTCTCTGCACAGATGTCATTGACTCTTTTGGTGGGAGCATGGGTTTTATTGAATTCCGAGGCACAGTTGGCTATAATTGTTTACAAATTTGGTTCTTCCCACTCAGAAACACTGTTTCTCCTTTATTTCTGTGTGTTCATCTTGCTCTTGCACATTTTTGTTAGGTCTAGTCTTAGCTATTTGTATATGAATGGCATCTATTTTCTCCCATTTTATCTTCTTTTTTTTTTAAAAGATTTTATTTTTATGTAATCTCTACACTCACCAGGGGGCTAGAACGTACCACCCTGAGATCAAGAGTCCTGTGCTCTGCCAACTGAGCCACCCAGGCACCTCCCCCCCCCCCCGCCATTTTATCTTCTAATTGTTACAGTATTTAGAAAAGCTAGTGATTCCATTTACTTACCCTATCTGTAGCCAACTTAATGAGTTATTTTGTCAGTTCTAACTATTTTCAATTTATTACCTTGGCTCTTGGGTATTTTTAGGCAGATAGTTACTTCATCTGCAAGCAAAGATGTTTAGGCGCATTTCCTGCATTTATGCTTCTCTTTTAGTTTTTTTTTTTTTTTAAAGATTTTTATTTATTTGACGGAGACACAGTGAGAGCAGGAACACAAGCAGGGGGAGTGGGAGAGGGAAAAGCAGGCTCCCTACTGAACAGGGATCTCAATGTGGGACTCCATCCCAGGACCCTGGGATCATGACCTGAGCCGAAGGCAGATGCTTAACGACTGAGCCACCCAGGTGCCCTCCTCTTTTAGTTTTTTACAGAAGGGGGAAATCTCTGCTCATGATAAAGTACCAGCCATCAATTTGAGTGGATATGCTCTGGCATTTTACTCAGGGTGGTATTTGCTGTTTTTTTTTTTTTTTTAAGATTTTATTTATTTATTTGACAGAGAGAGACACAGCGAGAGAGGGAACACAAGCAGGGGGAGTGGGAGAGGGAGAAGCAGGCTTCCCACAGAGCAGGGAGCCCGATGCGGGGCTCGATCGCAGGATCCTGGGATCATGACCTGAGCCGAAGGCAGACGCTTAACGACTGAGCCACCCAGGTGCCCCTTGCTGGTGTTTTCTGGCCCTCTTCATAAGTTAAAAAAAATTATTTATGGTCAAATCATTTCTGAGATTCATTTAGCAAATTTATATTAAGCAGCTAGTATCTGCCAGGCACTGGACTGTGTGTTAGTGAACCGGTTATGAACAAAACAGAGTCCTTGCCTCTATGTTCTTTTGGAGGGAGATTGATAATGAACAGTCTGATTTGTTGGATGATGAGAAAGGCTGTGGAGAAAAATAAGGTGAGGTACATGGGGACCGTCCATGGGAGAAAAAAAGGTATATCCACAACCCAACTACCTTAAAGCAGTAAGTTTTCCTTTTTCCAGACTCTGGAACCCTGGGGATATTTGGTGGCAGGTGGGAGGGACAGTGGGGGAGGAAGAGATTGGTGGCCGCAGGCTGGGAGGAGGAGGAGGGGGTTGTGAGAGCAGCCCTGGAGAAGTGAGGAAGTGAGGTCTGACTTGCTCTACGTGGAGGTGAACTTTAGTTCACCTGTGGTCCTGTGGTTGGTGTCCTCAGAGGCCTTACCACCTTGTGGTTCTGTCTAGTGTTGGGATTTTTTTTTTGGCTCAGATTATTTTGGGAGCCCTTTGGACCTTGTCATTGCCCAGTTTAAAGGCCACTTCTTGCTTTGAGGAGTGTCCACATTTGTTCTTTTTCTTTCAGTGTCTCCTTTTGAACTGGGTTCCTTACTTGTTGTTTTAAAAGGACACCCTCTGGGCGCCTGGGTGGCTCAGTCAGTTAAGTGTCTGGTTTTGACTCAGATCATGATCTTGGTTTCGGCTCAGGTCATGATCTCAGGGTCATGAGATTGAGCCCCTCATCGGGCGCCACAGTGAACGTGGAGCCTGCTTAGGATTCTTTCTCTCTCTCTGTCCTCCCCCACCAGCTCCAACCCCCACTCACGCTCTTGCTCTCTCTCCCTAAAAAAATAAAAGGGCACCCTCATAAGGACCTGAGTGTAGAGAGGCCATGAACAGTGTGCCAGCATTTATCCTTGGGATACATTTCTTCCAGGCTTCCTCCAAGAGCAGTTACAATAGCCTTCCTTTCTCCCCGGCCCCGGTGCTGCCCCCAGTGCAAGGCCGCTACCCAGAGAGACGGGCTTAGCTGAGCCCCTCTGGGTAGGTGTTTTCACTTTTGGTGACTGGAAGAACAAGGCTGCTTTATAGGGCACTGCATGTCTCCTAGGATGTGGACTTGGGGGGAGGCGGCACAAGAAGGTGAGAAGGCACAGGAGTCATGAAACCTCCCATGTGAGAATCTAGTCTCTGTGGTCTGTGCCACCCCACTGTAGAAGCAGAGAAAGTAGCCAGTGGACACCATTAGGGATTGCTCTTGGGCCTCATGGAAGGTTCAGAGGCTCTGGCTCCTGGGGTGGTATTGAGGTTTTGAAAGAGCTGACCCCTCAGTCCACACTCGGGGAGGGAGTCCCTGTGGCTTGGAGGGAACATGGTAAAGACAGATTGACAGGTGCTGTTGGGAGTTAGGAGTTTGAGAAACTGTTCTTCAAAGATGGGACAGCACCAGGTAATGATGAGGATCAGGGGTGAGCCATGTTTTAGGGGAAGCTCGTGAGCCCAGTATGGGAGGCAGCTTGGTGTGTGGGAAGAGCCCAGGTCTGCTGTTTGATGGATCTGGATCTGATGGAGCCCAGCGCAACCAGTTCCTGTCTGTGTGGTCTTGGGCAAAGTAATTAATCTTTCTAAACCTTAGTTTCATCATGTGAAAATGGGAGTAATAATTCCTACTTCATATGGATGTTTTAAGATTAAAGGACATACAGGGGCGCCTGGGTGGCTCAGTCAGTTAAGCGTCTGACTCCTGATTTTAACTCAGGTCATGATCTCAGGGTCCTGTGCTTAGTAGGGAGTCAGCTTGAGATTCTCTCTCTCTGCCTCTGCCCCTCCTGCTTGTGTGTGCTTGTGTGCTCTCTGTCGAATGAATGAATGAATGAATGAATGAATGGATCTTTAAAGAAAAGATTAAATGAAATATATGTCCTAAAGGTACCCCCCTAAGAACTTGGTGCCTAGGGTCTTAATTAACAAGTATGAATTCCCTTCATCCTTGTGAACGTGGATGGCTCCAGGGGGAGGCAGAGAAGGGCCCATCTTGGCAGGTGGGATGGAGCTTAAGACTAGGGGATGGATCTGTGTCCAGAGACAGGAAATCCCAAGTTTTCTTTGAAGATGGGTGGTTCAGAGAAAAGGCCAGAACAGGCAGGCTGCAGGTTTCCTTCAAGAGAGCTTTCTGATAAGGTAAGAAGGTATAAAAAGAAATTTGCAGAATGCTGGAAATATCTTTAAGGAGTGGCTTGTCTGCACTAGTGGAAGTGTTGGGAAGACCAAGGAGATGCAGGGTGCAGGGAACAAACGGGGAGTGCATGTGTACTCTGGGTGGGTGGAGACAGGGTGAGTGGCGGCAGCCTGCAGTGGCTGGTGTATAGAAAACAGGGTGACAGGATTGTGGCCCACAAGAGGGCAGGAGGTGTGCTGGAGAGACAGAGTCAGGAACATGGGGGTTGATGTAGTGACCAGGCAGAGAGCCCCAGCTGCCATGCTGTGAGATGGGGATGACAGTTTGGGGCCTCAGAGCCATGCAGATGGGAGAGTGTTGGGGTTCTCCATTTGGAAGTGGGAACATTCGCTGAGGGCTTGCCCCTTTGGGTGCTGGGTGCTCTTCTCACTAGAGCAAACCTTCCAAGAGGCTCAGAGTTGCAGACCCTGGCAGGTCCGCCTCTTCCCTGCAGCTCAGGCCTCTCCTCTGCCCTCACACAGGGCTTGAACAGGAACCTGTTGTTTCAGGAGCCAGTGACCTTTGAGGATGTGGCTGTGTACTTCACCCAGAATCAATGGGCCAGCCTGGACCCCATGCAGAGGGCCCTGTACCGGGAGGTGATGCTGGAGAATTATGCGAGTGTGGCTTCCCTGGGTAAGGACTCTCTCCGTGGTCCGTTGTCATAGTTTGACATCTTCCTCAGATGTTTTAGGGTTTCTAGAAGTCCTTGGATTTGATGACTTCAGAGATTAGTTCTGCAGTCCTCAGCCTCTGGAGATGCTGGGTGAGGAAACAAATCCCTGGTTCCCTCTGGTTTTGAAATCAGACTTCCCTACATCCCGGAAGAGCCTGGTTCTGGGCCCTGGCGGGGAGGATGCTTCCCTGTGCCCTAGGTGAGCCCTTTGTTCCTCCATGCTGCCAGTGTTCTGGAGATGTTGTTCTCCCCCCATGGGAATCAGTGCCTATGTTCTTCCTGAGGGCATCTCTTCCTTTAGGTCAGGGCGAGATTGCAGTTTCTTCCTGAGGAGAGTGGCTATCTCCTTGGCCTTGCCTTGGAGCATAGTTTGGAGCTCTTCCTCAGCACCCCCCCTTTTTTTTTTTTAAAGATTTTTATTTATTATTTGACAGAGAGCACAAGTAGGCAGAGTGGCAGGCAGAGGGAGAGGAAGAAGCAGGCTCTCCGCTGAGCAGGGAGCCAGACGTGGGGCTCGATCCCAGGACCCTGGGATCACGACCTGAGCTGAAGGCAGCCGCTTAACCTACTGAGCCACCCAGGCACCCCCTCAGCACCCCTTGGTAGCTCAGCTGGTCTCCTGGGCATTTCATCTCATCCCTCCCTCCCTCCCCCTGTCAGCCTGTTGTGAGGTGGGCCGAGCAAGATCTCAGGAAAGCTCTGGAAGTCTTCCCTCAACTTGTTTTTCCTTTTCCTTGCTGGAGTAGCGTTTCCATTCCCCAAACCTGATCTGGTCTCCCAGCTGGAGAGAGGGGAAGCGCCATGGAGCCCGGATCCCTGGGAAGCAGAGGTTTTGAAAGGCACCTGTCCAGGTGAGTAAGAGAACATAGTGGTTTCTGATTTTGCCTTCCCAATTTCTTAGAAATGTTTCTCCCACAGCAGGGAAGCCGTGGCTCCCTGTCGTTTATAAGGCAGTACTCAGTGCACTCTATGACCTCCGCCCAGTTCCAGCCCTGAGCCTGGGAAGACCAGTCCCCAGGAGTGTGTGGCTACTCACCTCCCGCAGAGAAGCTGTGACCCAGTGCTCTTAAACCACTTCTTTTCTCACTTACCAGTGGAAATACTTAATTTTAAGCCAATTTTATGTAAAGAAATGGGTTTCAGCCATACTTTGAGGAAAGTATGATGCTATAGGTCAGACTAATTTATTTGTGCCACAGCTATGAATTTTGTTTCTAGGCCTTCAGCAATGAAATAAATGCCTTTAATTTGCCTTTTTAGTGTTTAAGTTACCTAAAAGTTCTATATGCCAGAATCTTTAGGTCTGCATTATATTTGTCTTATATATAGCTGTAGAGGGAGAGGCAGGGACTGTTTCTCCACCACTGCAGCCAACACACACACACACACACGTGCATACATGAACACACATGTGCACACACAGCCAACACACACAGCCTAAAATTTCCCTGAGACTGCTCACCATTCCTGGGAGCTCTTGATTACTTGGGTTTTCTTTCTTTTGGAAGAAATTTTCCGTATATGCTGTGATTTTGTAAATCGCAGTTCTTTTATCAGAGCTATGCCTGTGGCCTACAGCTCTCCAGTTCAATTTGAGTTCCAGCTGACTTTCTGGAAGAATCTTTTATCCCAGAAGATTATGTGGAATATTTATTTATTTGCTTTAAGATTTATTTATTTTAGAGAGAGAGAATGAGGAGGAGAGGGAGAGAGAATCCTCAAGTGGACTCCATGCTGAGCACGGAGCCCAATGCGGGGCTCGATCCCACAACCCGGAGATCAGACCTGAGTGGAAATCAAGAGTCAGACACTTAACTGACTGTGCCACCCGGGTGCCCCAATGTGGAATATTTAAAAATAGACTCATTGGGCCATTATTTAGAATTTAGGATGGTTTCCTGGCTTGCAGGTGGGGACGTTGAAATGCAGTGTTCTTGAGTTTGGATTGCAGCCCACTAGACCCCTGCTGGTGCGAGAGCTCTGCCCATCTCTTCTCCCCAGGAGTGTGGATTTCCTTCCCTTTTTGGGGTCTCTCTCTCTCTCTCTCTCTCTCTCTTTCTTTCTCTTTCAAAAATTTTCCATTTCTTGCTGATCCTCTTATCTCTCCCATTCTGGTTTCTCCTTTCCCCCCTCCTGTCTTCTTTCCTTTCCATTCTGGAAGGTCTCATTGTGCTCCTTTCATCTGCCTTAGTCTGCTTCCCAGCCTTCCTCATAGGAGGCACTTCCTCCTATTTCCAGTGTCATCCTCCCTCCAGTTAGTAGATTATCATTTATCTTTTTCTCTCATGGATGACATACGAGATGTCATATGTATGGATGGAGTATGATCCATCTGTCTGGATGCCTGTAGCCACTTCATGAGTACATTTTTCAAAATCATATTCTACAAGAGAAAACAGGAGCCCTGGATCCTGTTCCCTTCCCAGCTCAGTAACTCAGAACACTTATGGTTTCTTTGGGCAGGTGGTGAGTTCTGGATCAAGGAGGAGGAGCCAGCTGTAAAGCAGGAAACCTCTGAGGAGGCAGAATTGCCCAGAATGCCAGGAGGAGGACTTCTCAGAAACGTTTCCCAGCACTTTGACTTTAAAAGCAAGGCGACATGGCAGACTTTCAGTCTGAATCCGAATCTGATACTTCGGGGTGGGATGAAGTTCTACGAATGTAAAGAATGTGGGAAAATCTTCAGATATAATTCAAAGCTGCTTCGGCACCAGATGAGTCATACTGGGGAAAAGCCCTTCAAGTGTAAGGAATGTGGCAAAGCTTTTAAGTCCAGCTATGACTGTATCGTACACGAGAAGAATCACATCGGAGAAGGGCCCTATGAATGTAAGGAGTGCGGCAAAGGTTTGAGTTCCAACACGGCTTTGACTCAGCATCAGAGGATCCACACTGGGGAGAAACCGTACGAATGTAAGGAGTGTGGGAAGGCCTTCCGAAGAAGCGCAGCCTATCTGCAGCATCAGAGATTGCACACCGGAGAGAAGCTCTATAAGTGCAAGGAATGCTGGAAGGCTTTTGGGTGTCGGTCACTTTTTATCGTCCATCAGAGGGTTCATACGGGGGAGAAGCCCTACCAGTGTGAGGAATGCGGCAAGGCCTTCACTCAGAAGATAGCCTCCATCCAGCATCAGAGAGTGCACACCGGCGAGAAGCCCTATGAGTGCAAGGTGTGTGGCAAAGCCTTCAAGTGGTATGGCAGTTTTGTTCAGCACCAGAAGTTGCACCCTTTGGAGAAGAAACACACCAAGGTTCTTGGGCCATCCCTGATGAGTCCCCCGTGTGCCCCTCCAGCCTTATCTGCTGTTCCTGTCCAGGGCCCGTGCTCTGCTCCCGCCGTGGCCGCACCTTCACTGACCTTTCCACATGCCGTGCTCATTCCTACCTCTGGGCCCTTGTTCGTGCTACTGCCTGCACCTGGAATGCCTTCTTCACCTGTCCAAATAGTGCGTGTCTTCCAGGGCCTTCCTCCCACTGTGAAGCCGTCTCCAGTTATGCTGGTCCCTTCCCCTCATGCCTCATGAGCTTTATTTCAGCACTCTATCGGCTTTTAGGCCCAGCAGATCTTCAGCTTCACTTGAGTTTCATTTGTATGTTTTTTTTTTTTTTTAACTTTACACGCATTACTACTGTTTCAGCATAAACTCCATTATAATCTATCTTATATTGAAAGACTGTTTATGTATTTTCTTCCAGGGAGAAAGTGAAACTACCTGACCTTAGCACTGGTCTCTTTCAGGCTTGAACAGTAATGGCTGTATGTGTACTGTGGGGGTGCGGGTGTTAGAAGGGCTGGCAGGACACTTGGTTGTCTTTAAGTGTCTGGGAGAGAGAGGCTTCCCCTGCGCTGGGCCATTGTGGTTAGAGCCACGCGGCTTGGGGGAGGCAGAAGAGGCGCATAGGAACTGGGGTGAGGGTTGGGGGGGGCGCTGGAATCCACTTCCAGCAGCAGACTCAGAAATTAATGCAGCTTGTTCAGTGGGCTAAGGTGGTCCATCAAAGCAATCGAAGTCATGTTGCCCTTGGCATGGATCATTGAGGATCTCCTATGTCTATGCAAAAGATCATGTGAGATAACCAGTGAAAAACTAATGGATGCAGTGATCACAATCATTTATGTGATTGATAGCAATCATGTTTTTAAACACAGAGTGTGTTTTTTTTTTCTTTAGTTTTGCTCTTGATATCTAGATGTTTCTTTTTAACTTTGGTTTCCTAAGTAAATACACACCAAAGTAGTCATCTTTCTTCCATGTGTTGTGTACATTTTTCTCCTCGGGCATTCTGGTTTTCTGTTTGCAAGCATTGGCTTCTACATTTTATGTTCTCCAGATAGCATGAATTGTAAATATGAATTTGGTGAATTATGAAAGAAATAGCATCTGTGTAAAGCCAACGTGGGGGAAATCTGAATAAGTCTCTAAAATTATTTTTTAGGAGTAGAGGGAGCTGTGTGGTGGGTCAGTGGCTAAATTTCTGTGATAGGTCAGTGAAGTGGAATTTTGGATTGCTCTTAGTTTTGACCTTGGTGGGGATCTTTTACAGCTGTGCAAAGGACCACGTGAAGCAATTTCTGGAAAAAGAATCTGAGTCCTGCATTATCGGCATTAATATAAAGTAACTCCTTAAACATTGATGAAAGGGGCCGTACATTTTATTCTTCTAAGTTGCTTTTGCTACCTAGGTGTTTCTGCACATCAATTCACAGAAAAACCTTTAAATTAATGGTACTTATACTTTCCTGTGTGTCTGAATAACCTGGTCTGAAAAGAGTAATTTTCTGGCCTAACTCCCAGAACTTCTGATTTTGGATATCTGTGGTGATGGCTAGACATACACTGAGAGAGAAACTCTGAGCACAAAGTGGCTGTGGGCTGTTGGAGGTGTGTGTTGAGGGTTTGGGAGGGGCACTGTCTTCCTGCACAGTGGATCTTCAAGACAGAGACCTCTAAAAGCAGTGTGGGTGGCATTGGTTTAGAAGAGATAAAAGCAATTAAAACATGGCTGGTAGGGAACGAAAGAAAGGGGCAAAGAGGTCTGAGGTGGCTATGAGGCGTTCTAGAGGTCTCCACTGCCAGAGGTTTGTGGGGCCTGACATTGGCTACCTTTTGCTATTTTCTTGTTGGGTGAAATAATGAAGAAATATTTTCGTATTAGAAAGTTAGTTCTCCAGGGAGCTCTTGGGCTAAAGCAAGCACAAATTGCCTGCTACAGATGATTGGGAACTGAACAACAGTAAGAACAGGATGTAGCAGGGGGATGTGGCAAACGGCGGTACTCAGAGCAGTATTGACGGGCTTGGATGCATCCTTCACAAAACGAGTTTGAAGCTTTGCAGTTCAGAGAGCTGGGGATGCTGTCTGGTGGTGGGAAACAAATTAAACACAAACTAAAGAAAACAGACCAAAAAATCCAAAACACAGTTGGCAAAAATAAGATACACAACAGAGTTTTTGGTGAAAATGGTGGTTAAACATGTTAGCATTCGTGCCCTCCTGAAACCCCACTAAAATAGCAAAAGATTAAAAATTAAACACCCGCTGACAAGGACAATGAAAATATGATGTGAAGAGCTTGGAAGCTGGAAGGCGGGTGAAGAGTTATAACTTTGAACAGCCACCAGGGGAAGCTAAGCAGCCATCCTATGTGGCAGATTCCGCACAGAGGCTTAGGAGTTGAAGATTTAGATTTCTGTGGAAGTAGAGGATGCTGGTGGAGCTAAACATAGAATTTACAAAGCCTTTACGAAGCACTTAGATTCTCAGGTCACCTCCCCTATCCCTCTGTTCAGTGGAGCAGTAAAACAGGAGTTTTGGAGGTCAGGGGTACCATGCTGAATGTCAGGTCCTTCTCCCCCACCCTCTACCCTTCTGCCCCTGCTTCTATTCCAGAATGCTGCCAGTTAGACTTGTGCACCTTCTCAGCTAGAAATCAGAAGAACTTTCTTTGGGAGATCGGATGAATCAAGAGAAAAGACAATGTCTTTTTTGACTCTCCGGCGATGTTCCAACTGTGCATGTAGAGCTTCTTAGCCAGACTTTTATTTTTTAAATTAAAAAAAAAAATTTTAAAGATTTTATTTTGTGAGAGCATGCGAACGGTGGGGTGAGGGGCAGAGGAAGAAGGAGAGAGGATCCAAAGCAGACTCCCTGCTGAGCGCAGAGCCCAACATGAGACTGGATAGTAGGATCTGAGCCAAAATTAAGAGTTGGATGCTCAACCGACTGAGCCACCCAGGCGCCCCTCCCTTAGCCAGCCTTTTAATGCTCCATTCTTAGATATAAACCAATAGCCAAGGATATGAAAGAGGCTGGAGCAAGGAAAAAGCCCACTTGAAAGAGACTATGGCGGGAAGAATTTATTCTGAGTTTAGAGAGAAGAGGTTCACATCTATGAAATGATAGGCTGCTCCAAACAAAGGAAAACTCAGAGAACAGGAAAAACCTCTTGAAAACTAAAAGTTGGTATCAGAAATGAGAGAGTGAGCACTGAAAAATAAAGGCAAGGGAATCCCCTAGAAAGCATGGCAAAAAGAGGTGAAAGTGACCAAAAGAGGTGCAGTGTAGGTGACCTAACAGGTGTTAGAGAGAGGGGAACAGAGAAGCAAATCCTAAAAGAAACGCTGCCAGGCGATTTCCTAGAATGGAAGCCTAGGGTTCCGTGCCGTCATCAGCATGTGTTAAGTACTTGGAGTAAAGTTACCCCGCTGCAGGCCTTCATGTCCCTCCTGGCAGGAATAAAGAGGGACTCCAGACCCATACCCCAACCTACCATGCTCCAACCTCAGCCTGCCCAGCCTTCTAGTCCGGAGCCTTGGGATAGTCTCTGCCTGCATCAGACGTTTACCTCAGTCACCATGAGGAGCCCTGACCTCCCAGGATAACCCCTGTCTCCTGCAAATTTAATCCTCCACATCTCTGCATTCCCCCTTTGTCTTCATCTGCCCCCTCTTCAGCTCCTGCATACCTTTCTTCCTTCTGCTCTCTGAAGTGGCCAGTCCACTGGTAGCGAAGTTGCCTGTGTGCTGAACCTCTCAACATTGCCTTTACCTTTGTGCTCTAATCAGAACCTGCCGGTCCCTTGAGGATATTGCTGCCCCAGCGCCCTCTGACAGGGTGGTCCCCCTCTCACACAGGGCTGATTCCAGATCGCCTGGGTCCTCTTTGTTTCTTTTTGCCAGTTCCAGACCATTCTTTTTTTTTTTTTTTTTAACAACTGATAATTTATTAAAAAGGCTGATTTAAGCATCTGCAATGGTGACTTCAACCTCCACTCCTGGCTCAATACTGATGGAAGTAATCTGTTTAACAATCTCAGAAGGACTGTGCAAATCAATGAGTCGCTTGTGGATACTCATCTGAAAACGATCCCGGGTCTTAGAACCTTCAGCGCAAGGAGTTTTTCTTGTAGTGATTCTCAGAGTCTTGGTAGGCATCCGAACTGGTCCTTTCACTTTGAGATTCTTTTCCTTTGCGCCTCTGATCAAGTCAGCACATACCTTTCCCAAAGATTTTACGTCGCGGCTGGTGAGAGTAGTTCTAATTCGGTGAATCCCCACCTCCGGTTCCACGGGTGTCTTCCCGGTGTCTTTAAAAAGCCATGGCTGCAACGCGGCTTCCCGACCGACTTGTTCCTCAGTGAGAGCGAACAGCGGTGAGTCAGAAGCAGGAGTGGGGCGTCCAAACCTCCGCTGTAGCTGCGACCGCGTCTTCCTCAAAAAGAGCCAGTTCCAGACCATTCTGCCTCTCCTCCCCTTTCCTAAAAACCACCTTTGAATCTCAGGTCATCAGGCTGTACTGCTAGGCTTCTGGGTCACACCCATTTATTTCTAGAAGCTTTTAGTTCCTGGCCTGCTTGCACTCTCTTCAACATTATTCTTGTCAGAGTTCTTGGTGATTTCAATAGCTGATCCCTCCAGTAACCTCGCCCTCTCATTTCCTTCCTGGCCCTCCATTTTATCCCAGGCTCTCCTCTGATCAGATCTTAGACCTTGTTGTTACCAAGCACCTCACCTCCTCCGTGGCCTCAGCACTTTAAATATCCTGCCCTCTTAGCTCTTTTCATTCTCTTTAGAATCCTGATGTCAACTGTCCTTCACTTCCTTCGTGCCTGTCCTTTCTCCTTCGCCCGGCATGGATTCCATGCTCAACTATCATAACAGTCCCTTCACAGTCTCCCTTAACTCCCTTGTCATGTTCACTTGCCCCACCTCAGACTGAACGCGGTTCTTTGCCTCCTCCGTGACTGCACCTTCCCTACCGAAGGCGACCAGGAAAACACACTACGTGCTCAGTTGTTTACCTGAAGTTCATGACCAGTAACTGCAAGTGGGCCCCTGATGCTTCCCGACAGTCATACTACATTTCTGGGGTCCACGGCACTCCCTCACTCCCTTGGACCACTGTTCTGTAGCTTCTCTCTTCTCAATTCTGTGGTGTCTCCTTCTCAGTCCTCGGGCTCATGATCATTTCTCTCCTCTGCCGGGAGAACAGTTAGGCTCCAGAGAGCCTGGGTGACACGTGTAGAAGTCAGGTGGAGCCAAGTTGGGCCCGGGATTGCTGCGGCCACCTTGTCTTGCCCACCTGCCTTCCAGCTTGCAGTATCTGGTTTTCCACCACCATATTCTCAATCACGTACACCAAGACACTTCCACATCCAAGGTTCACCCACTTGGCAACCCACTTCTGGTTCCTAATTCTCTGTTGGCCAGTGTTCAGTTGCTGACTGCAGATCCACCTTCACTAGTTTAAGTGCAAAGAGATTTGGTACATATTCCTAGTTAACTTGCAGAATTTCCAAGAGGGAACCAACGTAGAATGTCACGTAGGCAGAAGCCAAGAAAAATAACCAACAATGACAGTACCAAATGGTTCTAGTGGAAACCCAGCAGCAGCTGGTGTCTGCTACTGGATTGTCCTCTACCCGCATTGAATAGAGGGACTGGACCACCAGGAGGTTCCTACATATTCTGGAGAAAAAGCAAGTACCCACACAACTATTTTGGTAGGAGACCGTAGGGCACTGTGATCTTCCATCTTCTGCAAGGGTGTACCTGCCACTGAAGTCGGTTATATGTGTACATCTGCATAGCAAGGGCTTCTGGGAAATACTTTTTGGATTTTACCTGGGGGAAGTGAGATTTATAAGGTTGAGAAGTCCTAAAATGGGAAAAGGGTTTTCAAAATATTTTGGGCAGTCATAAAATATCGGATATCCATTAGAGGCACAGAAGATGATCTAAATGACCGAGGGA